ATCCAACGAATATAACCGGTAGCAGCTGTGAAAAGATTCATTTTTTGCCTGGCAACCTATCTTTTTTAATTCAAGTACATTTAACAAAACATATATATATATATATATATGTAAGTTATTTCACAATTACTCAATAATTTTGTTGAATGTATATCACATGGTATAATCCTGTCAATTGATATCCAAATCTATATCTACACACCTGTTTTATCTGACGTTTTTTTCGTCAGGTAGAAATGTCAACACATTGGACAAAAGTCAAGATGGTACGACTCAACAGCAATGAAAAGACATTATTAGAGCTGGATAAATTGGTCTCTTGACAAAATGTTTTATCTTATTGATGGATAAATATTTGCAAATGGACATCTCCCCTAGAGAGCGTGAACCCTAACAGTAATAAGTAACACCAATCTATACAAAACATTAGAGCTAATTTCAGTAGGAAGTTTAAGCTATAATAACATAAGATAGAGGGATTCAACAAATTATCCCCACCTTCAATATACAACAGACTGCTAGCCAATACCAAGGATTTTGACAAGTGTAATACAAGCCAATAAGACTTTGGATATTACTTTAAGCTGGTCGCTTCAAAAGGGATAATATTTTTCACACAATATGAGAAGGTTAAACAGTAGAAACGAGGTAAAAGACAAGTCCCCTACAGGCTTTATCTCAACAAACAAATATACCAGACCAGTTAAAAGAAAATTGTTCTCACCAGGAATGGGTAAGAAAACATAAGTCTGTCGTAGAACCAGTGGTATCTTTATAAAAAAATCACATTGATGTATTAATGATTTCAGAGTTAACTTTATAGTCTAAAAAATAATTTTGTTTTTTTTTTAAAAAAAAAGAGTTTAAACTTGTAAACCGAAGAGCATGTTGTTTCAAGTCGTGAAAGTTTAGCTTATTAATACTTTTTTTAAGATCAAACCTATGGAAAGTACTACACTAAAATTTTATACCTTGGCTTCTGGTCTTCTAGGCCAACAAGTAAAAATCAACTGAAAAAACGAGACATGATTGATTGCTCAGTGAGTAAGGCGCTGACTTGCTAACCAGGTGTTGGCCGAGAAAATTCCTCAGTATTTCCCCATGTCAGTCGTGCAAGATGGAGGTCCTGGCAAGTGACAGTATCTAGTAGATCGGAAGAGGCGGAAAACCGAGGTTCTGTGTACACAGTGTGTGTATATAAAAGAACCCATGACAGTTGGAAATCAAAATAAGCATAGGCTGTAGCGTCGCTCTCTGACACTCATATAGCACACTACATGGCGTAAATGTGTATACCCATCTATTTTAGCTCAAATGGAGCAGAAAAGTAGGTTGTTAAATCCCATTTCAAGCTCCACATTCCTTGCAGAGTTACTAGGGATTAATCCCATTTATATTGTTGGACCAAGCCATCGCTCGTGTCCAGATACAGTTTTTTTTGCAAAGTTGTAGAACCACTAGTGTAGACAATGATAGTTTGCAATAGAAAATACTGTTAAATCTAAAGGCTTAAGTTAATAGTGGAAGATGATGATGAACATCATATTCTTATTAAATATATGGGATATGGTTCTTTTTAAGAAATTTTTTGCCATAATCTTTTTTTATTTATATTAAAGATCCAAGATTAACAAAAACTTGTTAATGAACTAATTAGAATGTAAATGAATGAACTAATTATACTGTAAATGTAAGGCTATTTAGCGTGATTGTCCTGTTTAAGAAAACCATACAAAAGTTCAGCTTAGGATATTAGATTCATTGTAACAACAGATACGCCTAATCCCCTCTAATTACTTTAGTTAATTCCAGTGTGCTATATAACATAAGAAGTAGTTGCTGGCTTTGTTCAACCTACAACTACTGGGGATTAAATGTGTTGGACATGGTACTATACTCACCTACGAACTCCTGGTCAAAGTTTATGTAAATATACCAGTGAAAGAATTTCATTGAATGTTTTATGTATGTTAGAATAGTGTACCCTGTACAGAATGAATTAAAAGTAGGAATGAGCTCTTATTGGGGAGTGGACAATGGTCATCTGCAACTCTAGATTAATGGACACATAGATTCTAGAAAATAATTTTTTGAAAGGTAGAACAAACCAGGGCATTTACATATACTTTGAAAGTATGTAGGCCTACTATTTAAATGTAAAAACTGTTATTATTATGTAATTATTGGGATAAGTACGTCTGTGTATAAAAAAGCTTCATGAATAATTATTTTTTACGCCTTTTATCTAAGAGGTATAAAGATGGAGGTTTTAAACAGTAGAAACCAATGTTAACTTAAAACGATAACTTGGGTCAGAATTGATCGATTTGAATATTCTTTATACGAAAATGGTTTTTAATAAGGTACTTTTGATTGTGTAATGGTCTTAAACTCTATATCTAACCTTTATTCTGGAATGTTGGGGATTTAAATTCCCATTAATACAGATTTTTGTGGTATATGTGGTGGATTTAGGGCTTACTCTTTCTAGAACATCTAATATTGATAACTAATTGTTATTGTACTTAGGTAATATACCTAGAGCATCAAAAGAGTTTGTAATAGTGTTCTTGTGTAATAGTGTTCTTTTGCCAATCTTCTTGAAATTTTTAGTTAAATTTTTAGTCATACATTGTGAGTGGGTAGGATAATTGTAAAATCTTGCTTTTGCTATAATTGTGATTTTTAAACTCCCACATTTTCATGTTGATGTATATCGTCATTGCCCCCCCCCCCCCCCCCGTGTCCGTCCAAAATTTGATTGTGGACACTATACAGGTCACAAATTTTATCCGATTTGGACGAAACTTGAAATATAGGTTTATCTCCCAAAGATCTTGGTTCCTTTCGATATTTGCATGTATTGGATCTTAACTTTATGGATTATGGCCCCTGATTGTATGAAAAATCAGGTTTTTAGCTTGTGGACACTCTAGAGGTCACAATTTTTATCCAATTTTGATGAAATATGGAATATATGTTTATAACCTAACAATCTTGGATTCTATTGATATTCTCACATATTGGACTGTAACTTCCTGGATTATGACCCCTGATTGAATGAAAAATTGCATTTTTAGCGTGTGGTCCCTCTTGAGGTCAAAATTTATCCAAATTAAAAAGAACATTTGAATATATCACTGTAACACCATAATGATGGTTGAGTTTGAATTTCATGAAAATCGGACCAAAACTGTCGGACAAACTGGTCACTCCCTGTACGCAAATAGTTTTAAAGTATGTAATATCAAGGTTGTGGAAGCTCTAGAGGTCACAATTTTTATCCGATTTTGATGAAACTTAAAACATGTTTATATCCCAAAGATTTTGGTTCCTTTCAATATTTGCGCATAAGGGACCTTAATTTCCTGGATTATGGCCCCTGATTGTACCCAAAAATCGTGTTTTTAGCTTGTTGATCCTCTAGCTATAGGTCATAAATTTTATTCAATTTTAAAAACCGTTTCAATATATCACCGTTACACATTAAGGCTGGTTGAGTTCGAATTTGGTGAATATGGGACAGAAACTGCTGGAAAAAATGGCCGCTCCCTGTATGCAAATAGTGTGAAGGTTGTGGAACCTCTAGAGTTCACAATTTTAATTCAATTTTGATGAAACTTAAAACATGTGTTTATATCTTGGTTCCTTTCGATATTCATGCATAGCAGACCGTAACTTCCTGGATTATGGCTCCTGATTGTACGAAAATTGTCACGCTGGTTATTCAGTTTTAAAAACCGTTTAAAAATATATCACTGTTACACTTTAATGGTGGTTGAGTTCGAATTTTGTGAAAATGTGCAAATAGTTTAAAAGTAGAAGTCACAAGTTTTATCTTATTTTAATGAAACTTGAAATGTATGTTTAAAACCAAAAGATCTCAATTCCTTTCGATATTTGTGCATATCAGATCATACTTCTGGGATTATAGCCCCTGATTGTACAAAAAATCAGATTATTTTCTTAGGTGTTCTCTGTCCAACTCTTGCAAAATGTGGGCGTATCTTGCATGGCAACCGCTTGTTGTTTTCATTCACTAAAAATTTGTACCATTGTATAGGCTAATTGAGAAATCTAGATATTTTTCCACTCATTGCATATGTGCATCCAATTGTTAAATTTAATTGCCGTATAGACCATTTACCTTTAATTAATTTGACAGTGTACATGCTAATGTGTATAGATTATTGTTCCAATAAAAGTTTTTATGTAGAAAACCTTACAAACATTCAATTCAATAAACACATATGCAGTCATTTGTGAAATACATTTGCCTTTTGTATTTGACTTAAAATGTACAGTTACCGGTAGGCATTTTATGTCAAAAGACTCGTCAAATGAATAGATGACAGACAGGTTTATTCAGATGAATTTGTAACTTGATGCTACTTGAAAAATGATATGTTTTAATTTATAGAAATAATCCTGATAGTATTATTGAGTTAATAGAAAAATGTAATGGAAAAATAGAAATCATTTGACAAGATTGGATTGAAAAAGATAAAATCTGTGAATTTGGTTGTTGTAATGGACAACTTTTACTGTTGACGTCAGATGACAAACAAACAATACATGAGAAAGTTGGATATTGGACGGGAGAAAAAAAATCACTTTTCAGATTTTAATCTTTAAGCATGAATGAGTTTATATATGTTAATTTCATGGGTTGTTAGATGGTTGATAGATACATGACATACTATTTACTATATCTTGTTATATGACAGTCTTGTTAAAGGGGTCACCGGTTCATCATGAACCAATCCCCAATAATATAACAACTCTTGTTTCCAATTTAAAATCTCCTTGTCCAATCATTTTCCCACAAGATATGATGAATGATGTTTAGGCATGATGCAGTTTGAAATCATATTATATTACATATTTAATGTACTTTGAGCATGAAGTATGCTTTTATAATTTATTTTTACAGTGAAGCACATCAAAATTTATACTGCAATTACATGAGTTGAAGATTTTATTTTTCTTTCTCTTTACAGAGAAAGTGTCAACTATTGCTAGTGCTCCTCAAAGAAGTTCTAGTTTAACAGTTCCAAAGAAACTAAGCAATTCAGACAGCAGTAATTTAAGCGAATATAGCCTTAACAGAGGCTTGTCACCTCAGCTTGGTAGAGTGGGTAGTGTTTGTGTGACACAGTTCTCGGCAAGAGGTGACAATAGTACACTCAGAGCAGATAGAAAATTAACCAATGACAGTAAGGTTAAGAGAGAAACAGACTCATTATTGTGTGTGAAAGATAACAGACCAAAGCAGGATATTAGTAAAACAAACACTTTAACCTACAGAAGCGGCCGAAAGTCAATTGATGAAGACATTATAAAACATGTTAAAAAAGATTTGACAGCTTGGGACAGACACGAAGCAAAAAAAACTAATCATACGGCCAAGGCAGCATCATCGAATAAGCCACTCACAAACGCTGACCGAATAGAAAAAGACACACAAGAGAAAAAGTCAGTGTTGTCACATGCGCAACAACATAAAGAAACATTTATTCTGCTGAAGAAAAAAGTGAGGGAAAGTTTGTCTCAGAGTACTGAATCGCTTCTAAAACTACACAAATCAAGTGCTACCAAAGAACAGTGCGATCAAAATTTAAGGACAGAAAGCCCTATTTCTGAAGATGTGTTTAAAAGAGATTTACTTGAAAAATCTCGGAGACATTCAGTGACTTCCAGTCCAAATAAAAAGTTTGATGATAGGGAAAACACTTGTGCTGTAGATGACAGTGTTGTGACACCTGTAAGGAAGCGTTCACGTGTAGAAATGGAGCGAGCTTTCACAGATATATTAAATGACCTTGAAGTTAAGGCAGTTAAGTCTGCCGATTTAAAGGAAAGTGAAAATGATGAGCAGTCATTTAACAATATTAGTGTTTCAAGTGAAAATATTCAGCTTTTGAATACAGAAAATACGGAACTATCAAACAAAATGGATGAAGTGAATGGGAATAGGGTAATTACTACATTAAAACCTATTATTTTCAATGAATGTACTACCCCCATGCAGTCTATGGATGGAAAAGTGACGAGTGCTATAACCAACAACAGTTTGAAGGTAAGAAAAAAGAGATAACATTTCTATGTTAAAATTGCTCTCAGAAATGTTTTGATAGTTTAAAACTCACAAATTCATATAGGCCTATGTATTGCTAAAGTTATTTTAACATTTATAATCCACAGAATTGTTTGTATTGATTCTTTCTAGAACACCCAGTACAACTTCTGATTTATTTGGAAAGATCACATAGTTTAATCTTTCTGTTGTGTTTTGTCACAAATTATAATTTATTTGATAGATATTGCTGTCTCATGTCCTCAGAAATAATGCTGTCATAGTACAGTACATGTTTAATAACAGATTTGTCATGGCCAGCAGAGCATAATTCTGACAACTTCTTCCCAACCTACTTAACTTTACGCTCAATTTGTTTTGGTTTTGTTATACTTGTCATATCAAAGGCGAAAGTTTATATCAATACTCCCAACACAAATAGGAAGTAACACATATTTTAAGTATGGTACATAATTCCAACTACTGAAAGTCAAATCTTTCTGTCTTCATGTCATTTCACATTCATTGACAATAAAAAAAAATGCAGAGAGCGGAAACAGGTGTCACAGTTTGACTCGGTACCCGATTTGGCTTGGTATCTTGTACATGAGATTCAAGTGAAAATTATCACCAGTTACATATTGATTGATCAGGCTGTTTTAATATAAAAACATTCTACTAGAAAGCCTTTCACAAACCCAACTGCTGTTTATTACTTGCACAAATAGCGTTGTATTTTAACTTAGGTCTTTTTATTTTATGTATGCTTTTCATTTTACTTGCAAAAATATCACAATCATGGTCGGTAATATTAGTAAGGTGACAAACCAAACTGGTTACTGAATCAAATGGCGACATTTGTATGTAATGTGTCAGTGGTAGAAAACAATAGTTTATATTTCTTTGAAAGTAGTATTTATTGCTGTGTCAAGTAGTTTCAAGTGGAACAAGCAGTTGTTTAACTTGTGGGAAACCCCCTTGACCTGTGACCTTCCACTTGATTTATCATAATGTTCACTATAGATTTCTTTATGTTTTAAAAACAATGCCAAGGGGAGAGGGGTGGGGTGTTGCGGGAGGAGAAAGGGGGATCAAATCAGATAGTGATAATGATAATTTACCCTGACTTTTACATGATACTAAGACTGTTTATCAATGTTAAAACAGATACAAAATCTTACACAAGGCAATGCATATGGCCACTATTTGCAGGGTTAAGTATGGATTGTGTCCCACATCTGTAAACTGTGTGTGGTAAAGTTTTCTTTGACAAAAACTACAAAATGGAATGAACTTTAATTAATAATATGAATTCATTTTAATTTCAAAATTTAAACAGTTTCATAATTCTCTAAAGCTTATTTGTGGTATTGTGATAAAGAAATAAATATTGCCTTTTAAGAAGTTAGTTATTTACTGCACAACATTGGATGTTTCAACATTTGTTGACCTTATTGGCCAAGCTATACCGTTGACTCCTTTTAAAATGCCGCACAAAATGATTTTTTTCTGAAGATATGTTTCTAATTACCAGGAAAATTAATATGTTAGACTAAGGGTGTTTATTTGTCTTTATATAATAACTGAAATAACAACAGTCTTTCTGTGTGTAAAGCAGTAAAATGTCAGCCATTTGATAAGATAAGATAAGATAAGATTTTATTGCAAAGAAGCAATGAGATCCGAGCATCAAGACTGCACGATTAAATAATTTGAAAACAACAAATGGACTTTTTAAAACAGCTTATGCAGTTTCAAATTTCTGTCACCACCAGCTATTGAATTTATAACAATAAAAGTTATTAACTTAAATATATTCATTAGATTTGATGTACATTCTAGCAGTGGAAGAAATTTAACAGTAGAAAGGCAATATTTTATGAAAATAAACAGTTTAAGAATAATTCAAATGTCATTTTCTTTGAAAACAGTTAAGGTCAGCAATTTGAGTACTTTAACATTCTAACTTCAGCTATGTTTTAGAACAAAAGGATGTTTAACATATGAATTGTTTTTTATTTGGGTGACAAGGTCATTTCTTTTGCTGGTCAAAATATTTAGAGCAGACATTAAGAGAAGGTCATCTACATGGTATTCTTTACTAGTAGTATATATTTTTAGAGTTAAAAACTTAAAGGGGAAGACTCACTTGTATAGCTATATAGTCTTTGTTCACTTCAGATTTTGAAAGAAAAATTTGAATGTGCTTAATTTTATTGATACGCAACAATTTATTGCTTTTTGGAGTGGGTCAGCCAAAAATTAATAACACTTATTAATGTCTTGTCAAATTTCTAGATAGGTTGCAACTGACTGCTGGTTTAAATCATTTGGTTGACGATATGCGTATTGAATTCTGTGTAAGCTAGAGGACCAAATTTGTATTGTGAGCATGTACTTAAGTATTACAATAGGGCAAAGTAGCACCTTTTATGTGCTGTATGTAGGATCAGATGATTTTCTTAGTATTGAGGCAAAGTGACACCTAGTAATATATGTCCTGTAGGACCAAATTTGTATTGTAAGCATGTACATGAGAAGAAACAAAAACTATCCCCACCTTATTTGTATTAGGGCAAAGAGACACCTTAAGTACCTGTTGTAAATAAAAATTATGTAAAATTGACCTTATAAACTATAATCTTTCATTAGCCAAATGCTGCATACATTTGTGTGTGTTGCAAGTTACAAAGGTATTTGAGCATTATTATTATTATTATTATCTGCCATCTTAGTATTAATGATAGGAGATAATAAAAACATATAAAGCTAAATACACCATGTAAACATTTCTTTTATCCGAAACAATAAACTGTAAATCTGCTCCAATTTATTTTGACACCACCTACTGAGCACGTTTATAGTAGGCCATGGCTTATTATTGACCAAACACTCAGTATCTCGTAACTCTTTGACATGATTTCTCGTGGTAGTGTTAAAGTAACTTGATTTGATTATTAGAAGAATCGTAAACATGATAAAACAATAAATCAGAGAGATTATGTCCAAGCTACTAACCTACATTATCAAAAATATGCCTGGTTGCTAGAAACTAAAAATTATCAAGAGTGAACGATTTCTGAACAGAATTCAAATTGTCAACTAAGATTAGTATTTGTGTTGTTTATATATAAAATTTTGAAAATGGCCATGGTTGTGTATTTACAGACGGAAGAAAATAATAATACAGAATTAAACGGACCCGGTTTAGAAACAATCGAAGAAGATAAAGGTAAGTTATTTAATTTAATAGATGACATACTCTTGCTTTCCCCTTGTCCAGTATTTACAAAAACTTAAACCTCTTAAAATCAGCATTTTATCATCACCATTGTTAAAGGTGTTATTATCCTGTGCCGAATGAAGTTAGGGAGGGATATTGAAATGGGGGCATTTCTCATAAACCGTTCAAAATATCTTTTTGAAACTTTGCACACACATCATCCTATTACAGTAGTTGTGCCTTTTGCTAATTAGAAATTTGTCGGATTTAATAATTTTTATGTTTCCATGGAATTTTTACTACACATTTGAATTAGTTTTTGGTATATAATTATTATTCTAGAGCATATCTCAGAAACTGTTCAAGATACCTTTACAACACCTTTACATTCATCAACCTATTATTTTATTTTCTGATGACCGTCCTTCCGTCACAATTTCTTTTCCAGAGCATATTTCATTATCCGTTCAAGAAATCTCTTTGAAACTTTGTACAAACAGCAAACTATTATAATATTTTATTTCCGATGTATAATGTTTAACATACAGCAGCTGATTGAGGTAGGCGAAGGTTGTTGTGAAAACCTTACAGGGAGTAGCGACCTACCTTGCCGACCTACTGTGATCAGAGTATGAATCTTCTAACTAGCCCCATTGATATTCCAAGAAGTTGTTTTTCCTTATGCCTTCCAAACAATGGTTTTGGACTAGTTTATTTAAAGAGATATTAATATTTCATGAATAAGGCCCCATGACATATATCATGAAAATGAAAGATGTTTGTAAATTAAGTATGATCTGGAAATGGGTCATTGGTTTTTAGTGGCTGGATGAAAACCAATCTGATTAAAACACAGATCCTATTTCGTTTCGTTTTTTATGGTTTAAAATTTCGTTTTACTTGTCTTTGCTACACTAGGATCTGGAAGAGTTGTTATGATTGATGTGTTCTGGATGATGTGAGGATTTAGCCAATGAAACGGTCTGTTAAGGCGAGCTTTTGGCATGTGGTGCAGGGAACTGTGGGTAATCTAATAGAAACATCAATGCTGATTGGTTAATCAAATGTCTGCCGTCATAGGGTCAAAAGTAGCTCATATGACCTCTGACACGACCTCCCAAAACAACTGGTCAGATCTTCATGTAGCGTAGGCCATTGAAAGTATAAAAAAAAAACAAATAAAATTTAAATCTGTATTTTAATCAGATTGGATGAAAACAAAAGGCTTTACTTTTTAAGACAGGCTTAGAAATCTGGTAAGCTTTATATAAAAATAAAAGTAATTTTAATGTTTCTTTTCAGACATTCTCATCCAGAAAAGATCACCAGGGTTACAATTACCAACAGATAGTGTTGAAGATGAAGCAGACGGCTGTGAAGAAACTGGTCAGATCTCACCATTGGTTTCAGATTTACAGCCTAAATCATTCATTCAAAAACGCTCCTTAATCAGGAGTAAAAGTTTAAATCTTCGTCCCACCTCACCAACAAACTGTAAAATAGATGTTCAAAGGGAAGAAGATGGTACCATCAAAGTACAACAAACCACACAAAGTAACAATAAAAACAGAATTGTTACCATAACAACCAGAAAGTATCAGACCCCTGATGAAACAAATGCAGAAGTAAGAGACACAGTGGTGGAAACCAAATTCTCCTCCCCAGGAGGGTCACAATTCACAGAAAGGGACGAAATCCATACCAAGAAACGTATCACCTCTCGTGGATCTAATTATTTTGAGCGTAGTGCTCTAGTTACTAAGAGAGTAAAGGATAGGGAAGGAGGTGAAATTATTCAACAGGATGTTACTGATGAAAAATCAAATCAGTCGGTCACCAGTGGACTTTCTTGGGGGGATAGAACTACCTCACATAAGTTGGTTAGTAAGCGAGCACCAGATACAGTTCCTATGATAGGAGATACTAAGAAATCCCATGCCATCTTGGTATTGAATAAGTTAAATGTATCTAAAGCCAGCAGTGGATATGGTAGTGTTTCTGGTTCAGAAGAAGAAGATAAAGAAGACATCTTGGATGGGAAAATTGAAAGACCTTCTGGTGAGTTATTGCCTTTCTGATAAATTCAGTTAAATAGAATACATTTATGTGAAAGTAAAATCAGAATAATTCATGTGTTTATTTTAAGTACCTAGAGACTGATGACGTACCAATATAAAAATAGGTTGGTATTATTTTACATAGATAATTTTGAATTCAATAATGTATAATCTTTATTTCAGGTGGAAATTGTGTTAAAAAATCTTTCAGTTTATTTATCAGTAGCTCAAATGATAGCCATTATGGGGACTGTTCAATTTGTTCAGTTCCAATGAGCATACGTCATTCATTGACACGTTGTAGGATTTCATTTTCATGCTTAGATGTGTTTCTAAACAATTTTTGATTCTAATAGACGATGGGTTAATTCTGTATTGACTTTAACATTGTATATTCAAACACTTTAACATTTGGACAGTATTTTAATGATCAATTGAGTGCATTTATCATTAATTAATACATTACATTACACAGTATCTTAATGGCCATTTGAGTGCATTTATCTTTATTTAACATTTTACATTGCACAGTATTTTAATGACCAATTGAGTGCATTTATCATTGGACAGTATTTCAATGACCAATTGAGTGCATTTATCATTATTTAACACATTACATTAACAAACTGATGTATAATATTTCATCAAAATAAAAGAAACTGATAATATATTTGATTTAAATGTTTTGAACAATTTATCAGGATATTTGAATCATTGAAACCTGTGGAAATGACAAAACAGGGTTTTAAAGTGGTGTTGACAAGATTTATCATTGAATAAATGTACAAAGGTTCATCCTCTCACAATATATAGCTCATCATGAGGTGTTAACAACAGAATCTTTAGACTACTTCACAATCACGTAATTCTGTTTTATCACCAATATATTTTTTATCTAGCATGATTATAAAGCAAGATGTATTGCTCAAAAACGTATTTGTCTGCACTCCCACTGCTAAAGACCCCTATGTGCAAGCGAATTATTGAAATAAAATTGAACCATATGTTAGTCCCAAACTATCTCTCTCTCTTTATTTATCTGCGATATCAGTATTGTGGAAGCTGACGGTGAAAGTTTATCAGAATCAGATTATATTTTTCCGACATTATATTTTAGGTTGTCCGTCAATTGTGATGCCATTAAAAGATCTTGAAGTAACAGAGGGCAGTAATGTCACCTTAGAATGTGTTTTGATTGGTTCACCCACGCCAGAAATCACATGGTATCAAGAAAAAGAGCCAATCCCATCCTCTACAAATTTTATGATTTTATTTGATGTAGAAAGTGGAAAAGCTTCGTTAAATATTACAGATACTCCACTGAGTTGTAACGGTGTTATCTCTTGTTTTGTTAAAAATGATCTTGGAGAAGCAGAAACAAAATGTCAGTTCACAGTCAAAAGTAAGTATAATTTTATTTCACATATTTATACTTGTGATTTCTTTTATATTGATAGACTCAATTTCATTGAATCTTATAAACATTATCAAATGTATGCTTTCAAAACTTTACATTGCAAATTAATGCAAGTAAGAAATATGTTAATTGCATCCTTTTGCCAGTGATTTAATGGTTTTTTGTATACCTTATGTTCTGTCATTGTATGCATGATTTTTTGTTTATCAGTAAATCCACATCAGTCTTTATATACACAAGTATGACCTATTATAACCTCTTCTGTATCACTTTCACTTATTCATTAAAGTGGTTCAATATAACTAAATTGTTGAACTGGTGTCTTATTTTGATTGGAGTGTATATAACAATCAGTTTGTTTACTAATTTTAGTCTTATATTTGGCTGTCAGCTTTGCAAAACAAATCTAAATTCTCATTTTTTTACCCATTTTTAATGTTTTTTGGGTGTTAAAACTGGCTCTCTTTATAGCTAATAGAAACATGAACTTTTGCATGTACTTTTTTATTGGATTTTTTTCCAGAAAAACCTAAGCATGCTCCAGTGTTTATGGAATTTTTGCATGATACTAAGGTGCCAGAAGGTCATTCTACAACCCTGGTTTGCCGTGTTTTAGAGGCAGAAACTGTCAGTTGGTATAAAGATGGAGTTATTCAGAAAAATTCACCAGATTTCAAGCAGACTTTTGATGGAGAATTTGCAAAGTTAGAAATTGGTGAGGTCTTTTTAGATGATGTTGGAACGTATATTTGTGTAGCCAAGAATGATCTAGGTGAAAAGAAAACTTCGTGCAAGTTACGTGTAACAGGTAAATAATCTTATTCACTTGTGGTTGCTAGCTGGAGTTATCCCCCCTGACACATCATCTGTGAGCAAATATTGAAGCCCGAAAAGGGTTCCAGCTACTTAATTTATAATGTTAAGTATTGTTTTTGTGTTTTAAAAGAAATCTGTGAAAAGTTAAGAAATTTGTTGTGTGTTTAGAAAATAAATTAAGAAACTAAGAAAGACTGATAGATACATGACGCTTTTGTACAAAAATTGGAAATCCCTTCATGACATTATTAATATTAATACTTCAGTTATATGAATTGTATGAAGTTCTATGGGGAAGGTCAGAGGATAAAACAAAAATAGTTTAAATTTGGATTATGTTAGGACAGTGGTTCTCAACTTTTTTTTGCCAATGGCACACCTTTGAACGCATGAAAAAATATCGGCACACCTGGCTAAATATATATGAAAAATATTTTTGCAAAAAAACCCCCAAAACATGACAAGTCATAGAAGGCATACAACTGTAGACACAGACTAGTCATAGACACATAGAATGACTCAAATTAAATAAAGAAAAACACAGCTATGAACTCTATTGAAGTGTTTCGAATTTTTATCTGTCAAATAGCTAGCTTCTTTGGTGAAATATTTTTTAGTGTGCTTTCAAAATTTTGGGGCCCACTTAAGAAGATCTTGGACACACTGGTTGAGAATCACTGTGTTAGGAGGTAGCAGGATAATTTCTTGACACCTGAAACCAAAATTCATTTTGAGGAAAAATAATTGAAAAGTTTTGTTATTGTTTGATGACTGGTAACATATGTTACAATTTTTGGGGGACTTTTGTATTTAAATCTGATCCAATTGAACTCTTTTGGAATTACTGTATTTGTTATTGTTTGACTGGTTACATAGGTTACAATTTTTGGGTGACTTTTGTATTTAAATCTGATGCAATTGAACTGTTTTGGAATTACTGTATTTCATCAAAACAGTTTTGTCAACCTTTTATTGGAATGATAATATTATGTTCTTTTCTATCCATATTTGATAAAGATGGAAATAACTAACCAAAACAGTTTTGTCAACCTTTTATTGGAATGATAATATTATGTTCTTTTCTATCCATATTTGATAAAGATGGAAATAACTAACCAAAAATATATAAGTAAATATTAAAATTTGGCAATTAGAAAGGGTAATTGCCATTTAAGGTCCAAAGAAAGTACAGAAAACGGCAGCTATTTGAGTCTCCTCTCCACATTCAAAAATTCTGGATCTGTTCTTATATAATCATAAACCAACAATGTTATAGATAGATAGATAGATAGATAAATATATAGATTTATTGTATCTAAACACCCCATAAGAGGCAGCATACAAATATCCACATAACATTCCATGCTAACATATTATTTGATATTAATTTACTAAATAAAAACAGTGTGTGTAAAGCTATTAGCTAAAACAGTTTAACCATGTGTTGATTGCCTAAGGTACAGACTGCCCTTCCTTGGATTCCATTTCACACAAGCCTTACTGAGAATCTTGTGTAATGGCAAAAAAGATTACAGGAATAATATGATTGATGGATCTGTAAATAGTTCAACTAGACTATTCTAGAGATTACTTTACATCTAACAGGGTATCCAAGATACAGGTCATAACATCTGGAATTCATAAATTTCTTCTTAAATAAATTTCTTCATGAGTTAAATAAAAGCATTTTAATTCAATCATTGTGAAAATATTTAGCTAATCAGCTAAGTACTTAACCTTGAATTAGGTAATTGTAGGTTTTGCAGCCGGATAGAGCTGTGGCCAAACATGTAGATAAAAGATAAACATGCCTATAAACACGTAAATAAAAAGATAGTACATATATTAATGATATTATCATGTCTGATATTAAATGTATGATGCCAACCATATGATTCCCATCTTCACTATACTAAATATTCTTGAACTAATGAACTTCCAGCATGCTCCTCCGAAACCAGTGTTGTGCCTATGTTCCTAACTAGATTGACCAACAAGTCAGTGCAGGATGGAAGCCGTCTGGTGCTAGAGTGTGATGTCATTGGAACACCAGAACCAAAAGTCATGTGGATGAGGAATGATAGCAGTTTACCTGATTACACTGATTATTGTGAATCTTATGATGGTCGTCTGGCTAGATTGGAGATACCTGTCATCACCATTAAAGATGCAGGCAGATATGAAATTGTGGCTGAAAATTCGGCTGGAAGAGTGTCTATGGACTCCATAATAACAATTCAAGGTAGGCATGCATTTGTATTGATACCTGCTGTCTTAACATCAGTACTTTGATAAGAAAGATATAGAATAGATAATACTAATAGATAGTATATAGCATGAAATTTAATCTGAATTAATTGCCACAATCTCAATTCTAACATACCTCCAATTTATTAAATTAAGAATTGATAAGAATAAGAAAATGCTTTATTTTTAATATGCAGGTTTAATATAAATACATTCTTTCTTTTATATATAAACTTTCTATGAAAAATTGTTCTCTATTCTTGATTTTGAAATCTGTTTTTTTTTGTACCATATTATTTTCTTATGAGAAACTGCGTTGTTTATGTAGTTATTTCAAGCTCTCCCAACATCTTATCTATACTTCTCACTAACACAGTAGCTTTCTTACAAGTTTGCTATCAAATTTCAAAAAGAACCAACACTGAAGTTTTTATGTTTGTATTTTAAATGGGTCAAAAAAGCAATATAACTACGTAAAGAACCTTTCAAGTTATTAATGACCCTGAAATTAGTAATATATCTATCGATATGAGGATATTCTAGAGATGTACAGAAATCAAAAGCAGACGGGAAGAAATATTTAGCTTTACTTTTGTTTTATTTAGTTGTGGAAATGAGTAGCACATGGCCGCTTGTAATATTTATTGCTTGCACAGAAAAGCTAGTAGTAGTCAAAGACATCTGGTTCATATATTCTTGTCTGGAGTCTATAAGCATGAAGGGAGATAACTCCACAGAGCCAATTTTAAATCCCAAGTGTATAGAACTCCTGATTTCTTTCAGGATATATATCTTATGACAAAGATATAATGTAGCGTTATGGATAATTAACCATTTAATATTTGAACCAATAATGCATTTTCTTGTTATTGATTCTCAATAATTCTTACATTTTTCATAAATGTCGATCTAAAACTAATTACATAATTAGATTAAATATAAGTAAAATGATTTTAGATAAGAAAAACTGTGGTTTAAGCTCAATGCATGCAATATATCTGTGCTGTGATAAAATTTTCTATTCTTTACAACAAACCTTGTCTATTAATCGGTAGAAAGAGAAACTAAATACCAATGTGCATGCAATATATATGTGCTGTGACAATTCTCCCATTCAAAGTTAATACATATAATCTTTATGGAGATAATGCCACTATCCAGGTAAAATTCTCCACCTCCCATTCAAAAGATGAAGAAAAAATGTGTTAGCCAAAAGATAACCAAACTATTGTTTTGACAAGACAAACAGTGATTTATTAATATGATTTTCTTATTCCAGCATCACAATCACCACCAACTATAACTCAGCCATTGTCTAACAAAACAGGTAGAGCTGGGGACAGAGTTAAATTACAGTGTGGTATATTTGGTACCCCAAAACCCACCATCACATGGCGCAAAAATGGCATGGTGATTGGACAGACCAAGGATTTCGTCCAGTCATATAATAGTAACAATGTAGCTGCTCTAGAGATTAGTGGGGTCTGTGAACAGGATTCGGGCAGTTACGAATGTGTTGCTACTAGTCCAGGCGGCGAGACATCCTGTACATGCCAACTTATTGTAGAAGGTAGGTATAATATATTGAAGCCTAATTTACCCCTCAACCCAGCTCCTTAAAACCCCTCAAAGATAATAAAAGAATACCGGGGTGTGTCTTATATCTGAAGTCTTGTATTAAATTTGGCGTACATGAAAAGATAAGCACTTACGTAGGCAACTGAGATGCAATAATACATGTATTATGAATGGTAGTGCAGTGGCAAAATGCTTCTTTGTGCTATCCTTTTCACGTTGGCATATGATGAATGTGTAATTGGAAATAGTACTTTTGCTTGTAAAATTTCTGATTATCACTACTACCCGAAGATATGGAAATGACCAGATAATGTGTCCTCTCCTCCTTCCCTTGTCCAATAGCGTACTTGTATGATATTTTATTCTCGAAAGCTGATAATAGATAAATAGTGTAGTATAGTGAACACAGCCCCTAGTTTCTAAATTAAATCTGTTTGGTTAATAGTTATCCCGTGAGACTAATTCAGCTACTGATCTAAAGATTTTTATTTTTATTTTTAGCATCCACCAATTCCCTTTTTTCATCCTCCCCATCACCATATAGTCAGACCATCATACAAGAACCACCACCCACAACTATTTACCCTAGTGATAAACCCAGTAAACCATCTGTTAGTCAATTACGCATGCAGTTCCAAGTGGGCAGCAACCAATCAGAAGCCCCAAAATCTTCCATTAGAAGATGGCATTCCTTACCTCCTCAAGAAAATAAATTTAGCATCCATAAGGTAGGATAACATTTTACTTAATTTTCGTTATTTAGCTTCTGTTATTCCCCCTCCTCACCCATTATTACTTAGTCTAACTGAAAATAGGAATGGTAGCTAGCTAGAGAGGATTCATGTACCTTTCTGTTTAAATTGGAAGCCTTTCAGGCATGACTTTCGAATATATTTAGATTCCTTGGCGTAGAATTTTCATCATCGGGTTTTAGAAACCATGGTTTGTCAAGAGCAGGGTGCGCAGAAGGGTGCACACCTGGGTTATTTTAGGTTTATTGTACATCACACACCCTTATTGTGGGTAGGAGCGTAGGTTCTAAAGGAAAACACAAAAATAGACACCATGACCTGTACTGAATATTTTAAAATTGATTATACATTTTTATTTTGTTTTTGAAATCAATACACAAGATGGTTGGTTGATTAACGTAATCAGTCCCGAAAGTTCTTCCAAATAAGGCCTTGCCATTAAAAAAAAATTAAAAAAATAGGTTTGACTATTAATGCAAAAATTGTTGAAAAGGTGCCACTTTTGAAAATTATTCTTAGGGTAAGCAGTCACTTTCCTGGCTCTCCCCCTAGGTATGACACTATTATTGTGGGTGTCGTGGTCCTTTCTAAATTCATTCGCAGGTATCTTCAAGTGGCAGAAGTTTAGTAGTTTTAAATTCATTCGTAATACAATTGCATATATTGCTGTTATATTTCAATCGTAAGACACCCATAGTGCACATTCCTACATGGTTGAAGATGGATAAATCCACTTTAACAAGGCACTCTTATCCCAAAAAGTAGGATGTTAAACCCCATTTCATTTCTTATCCTAAAAGTGCACAAACAATATGTGTAAAATGGATTGTATATTAGTACAGAATGGTCGTATTTTTATATGCTGCATGTTCTACACATGATCCATGGATCAGCCTTGGAAGAGGATTGGTTCCGGAAAAGGTTTCTGTATATAGATCTAGGCCCAAACCCCACAAAAACACATTTTGGTCAGTTTTTCTTGTGTTTTCTTTTTATTTTGAGTTGTGTTTGCTTGAATAATATACATGTACATTTGCTAGCTAAAGGTGAGAAAAAATGTGAAACCCAAACTATTAATTAATACCAGTCATATTGACTTCAGATATAAGATGTAGGTTTACCTATATACAAGAGCAAACAGGTGGCTGTTATCTTAATCAATGTCTGAGTTAATTGAATAATGAGATGATGAGACCAAGCATCTGGTAATTTGTCTATGATGTACTACCAACATCAATACATCATAAATCATATTACTGATTTATTGCATATGTAATTGGTATCGTCATTACCTGGTCAAAAAAAATAAGAGAATACCTACATAATGGAACCTACTTTAAGCAATAGAAAATAATGAGTAAACCATCATGGCATGTACATTTTTAGAATAGAATACAAATAATTGGGTGACACTTGGATTTTTGGTTTGTGTTGTCCTTATACATTTTTTATCCAATTTTTGGGGAGGTGTTGCTGTGGGTCAGTGAATAAGGCTTGGGTTGGCTCCCGGCACTGATCAATGATTTTTCGGTGTTGTTTCCACTTGTGGTACAGGATGTAGGGCCTGGCAAGGACCAATGACTATTTGTTTGGATAGGATGAAAAAACGGATCATAATAGAACCCTTGACAGTTGGAATTCAATACAAGAGTAAGCCATAGCGCTGCTGTCTGGGCAAAGTTTCTCTTACTGCACACTGTGTGGCATATGGCCGACTTCATAAGCCTGGTTGGTGCAGAAAATAGGATGTTAAACCCCATTTCATTTCAATGTTGTATCTGGAATACAGTTTATTGAGGTAATGTACCATAATTTTAAAGTTGATAACTAACTTATATCAATCAAACCCGAAATTACTAAAGAAAATAGATGAAATCTAATTAAACTTATTCAACCGTTTATAGACTGCTTAGTGATTTGCCCAGAAGTAGGCTTAATTCCTAAATCTTTCAGGGTTAATGTTTTCAACTGCATAATACCCATAATACATTCAAATATGTTGCAATTTGCTGCCACTGCCACAGCTGGGTAGATTCAATAACGTAACTTGTTCAAGGACAAATGGATTTGGTTCAGAACTTTTATAAATGTTTTATTTTCCTCTGTTCAGTTCTGATTTCCCTGTTTTTGCAATCATATGAAATAGCCCACCCAGTAACAAAAAAATAGTTATACTTCTTTCAGAGAATAGGCTGGAACAGTTTTGTACTTTTGAAATTATCAACCTGGGCCATGTCTCTGGGACTGAAATATTGAACCTTATCTCTTCATGGTTTTCAGACAAATAGACCACACTCTGTGGAGTCTACCTTTTTTTGAAAAACTAAAAAGTCTGTATTTTACCTTGATCCTTGATCAAAGGTTATCTTGGATTTCTTTGGTGTTCCTGGTAACAGAACTGACCATGTAAACACTGACTTCTATACAAATGTAAACAATTATTCCTATAGTTTATATTTTCTTAATTCTGATATTAGGTGTCAAATGATGTAACTAATGTTAAACATAAGGTAACATTAAACATAAATTTGTGAGGTATTTAAGGAAGAAATCATTGAATTACTCTAGATAATTTAAAGTTTTATTAACATTAGTAGACATATATTTTTGTTTCATTGCCTGCCAATCTATGTTTCAACTTACTATAGATGTACTGTGAAATGAATTTTGAAACTTGCAAACTTATAAACCATCGCTATCAAAAAATTTCAATTTTGAAAACAAAATTTGCTTTGATTAAATTATATTTGCTTTGATTTATTTTGTGAAAATTGTATGAGTTAAATTAAAATTTTGAAAATCTATTTCTGTGCAGACAAAATTCAAAAGATACTTTTTATGCTTATAACATACCATAAAAATAATTGCTAATGAAAAAAGTGTTTATGAAATCAGCTGCAAACATTTTCAATTGAAAGTTACAGAAACAAAATCTCAAAGTGTATTATGAAATTAATATATATAATGCTGAAACAATTTGTATACCTGAATAGGATTACATATATTTATTTATCAAGTTCTAGTTAAAAAGTTGTTATTCTATTTCGAAACATACTTCTGAACAAATGAAGAAATTGAAATAACTTGTGAAAAAAGTGAAATTCAATCACACCTTTCCCACGATTGTCAGAAATAATGGGTTTTCCTGACGAATGTAGATACCCCAAACCACCATTATAACATTACCTATATGTGTTGCTATAGTAACAAAAGATGCCTCTACAGGGATAGAGTAAATTTGGTGCTAGCCATGTATGGAGGTATGATATGCGATAGGCAAGAAAGGTAGGCTGCTGTGTGTATCTCTCAGCAGCAGACATGACCATGCTAATAGCACATGGTAATCTGTTATCTGTGTAAAGGTGAGAATTATTAAGGTATTTGAATCTGGTTGGAGATATGTGTAGGATGGGTGTTATTGTTGAAAGCTTTCAGTATATGCTTATGGTAAAATGGAATTAACAGATTCAATGTGATCAATTAACAAAATTAAAAAGTTTATTACTGGTTAAATATCTGTTACCAAATTCAATTTTTCCCATAAATTTATGGAGTCTTCCCATCATCATATTTCACAGTATATTGTAATAGAATGCATACTCTAAAGCTAATCTTATATACAAATTTACACAAGTAATCACATTTTAAATAATGAAAGCTTTGGATCCAGCCATTCTGAGAGCCAATTTCGGATGTGGTTAGAGCACAGGGTATATCATGTTGGTAGTCTATCCAAGCAAAATTCAGTGTTTTGCATCACATGGGCATTTGATAGCTTGGTTTATTATTGACTTTAGGAGGTGGGGGCTTTGATAGCTTGGTTTATTAATGACTTTAAAGTGGAGGGGGCTTTGATTTATTATTAACTTTAAAGGTTGGGGGGGGGGGGGCTTTGATAGCTTGGTTCATTATTGACTTTAAGGGTGGGGGTGGGGAGCTTTGATAGCTTGGTTTGTTATTAACTTTAAAAAGGGAGGGGGGCCTTTTATAGCTTGGTTTGTTATTGACTTCAAAGGGGGAGGGGGCCTTTGATTTATTGTTGACTTTAATGTTGGAGGGGGGGGATAGCTTTGATACCTAGGTTTATTATTGATTTTAAGGGGGTGGGTGGGGAGGGGGCTTTGATAGCTTGGTTTATTATTGACTTTAACAGGGGAGTGGGTCTTTGCAAGCTCAGGTTATTATTGACTTTAAAGGGGGAAGTGAGCCTTTGATAGCTTGATTTATTATTGACTTTTAAGAGGAGGGGGGGGGGGGCTTTGTTAGCTTGGTTTATTATTGACTTTAAAGGGGTAAGTGGGCCTTAGATAGCCCTGGTTTTTATTGACTTAAAAGGGGGAGTGGGCCTTTGCAAGCTCAGGTTATTACTAGAGGTTGGGGAGCTTGGGTCATTATTCATTCAAATTATACACACCAAGTTAATATTCCTGATTTGGGTAAAGTTAAGGGATGAATATCATTAAGGACTGTATATTTGTAAAAGAAAAAGAAGGGGGTGGAATCTTGCATACAGATCTGCTATTGCAATTCAAGTAGACCAGCACTATCAGAAGTAGGAATTTGCAAAAACTATAATGTGTTATGAACATATATACTTAAACCAATCTATTTTTGACAATGAAACATTATCTTTCAGCATAAAAGATGAATGTAGGCTACATGTAATTGCATGTTTCAAACTTGGTTATCCCCAGACAAAAATATTTCAAATTAAACTAATTAAAAACCACAAAGGATTAAGAGAAATAAATAAGGAGATTAATATAGATTAAAAGGGAGGGGATAAAGACAGATTAAGGATACAGGTATTAATTTGAGGAGAGGAATATTAACATATTTTAGAATAACACAAAAGATTAATTATAGAATATTTTTCATAAAGCTAAGAAAGATTAAAACTTATAGAAAGCAGTCGACTTCTATGAGAATTATTTCTATATACTTGAGATGAGGGTAGGTAACAACAAGTAATGTAT